TAAAAATTAAGACCTACGAAAGACTGATTTAAGACATTTTAATGCCAATTAAGGCCTTAGTTTTATTTTGAAGAATTCAATGACTTTTAAGACTTTTTAAGGACCCACGGGAACCCTGCCGCAAACAAGGATTTTTCTTTCAATTCTTCCTCTCAGATGTAAACACAGCAGAAGGGCAGGGATGCAATGAGTGAAATGCAGTTCTGTCTGTAAAATTGACAGACCGTAATAGCCATGTTTACTCAGCCATGTCCTTTTTCCAAATATGTTGTCGCCTTTTCTTTTTACGGCTTTCAGCACAAAATTGCACAAATTGCCAAGGCAGCGCGTTTCACTCTAGTGAGCATCATATTCCTCTTCTACTTGTTTGGCTTCTGGATAGACGAGTCAGAGCAGCTCAATCTCACTGCGGAGCTGAGTCCAACGTGGTATTTAGTCGTGCAGGTTGAGCAGGCCGATCGCATCAGAGCGTTGGGAAGCACATAAATTGTGAGCTGTAATCTCACGCTGTACGACTAAACTCTGCGGTTAGTCGTACAGTGTGAGCAGCAGCTGCGTGCAACAACTGAAAAAAATCGCTCAGTGTACCCCCGGCTTAACCCCACCCTGCTCCCTGAGTGCTGCACAATGGCAGCCCACTGCTCCCTAAAGGGGATGGGTTAAATTTCTGCAATGCGAGATCAATAAAGTTAAATTATTATTAATGCTAGAAGAAGTGTTTAACTGAGATAGTCTATGGTTAGCATCGGGATCAAAACCTTTTCTATGATATATTAGAAAGCAATGGCGGCTGGCCAACAGAGGGCGCCGCCCCACCCACCCAACGACCCTGATTAAGACATTAAAAGTATATATATATATTTTTTTTTTTATTATTTAAGTTTAAATTAACATTTAACATATTTTGAAATATATTAATATTTATTTCTTAGAGATGCAAGATGCATATTTAATCTTTAATGTCATTAAGTAGTAAAGCATCATTCAATTTATCGTCGGATTGGTGACGTATTTACTCCCTGGGGCACAAAAATCTGACAGGAAGTGTATTTGCTCACCACCTCCCGCCATAGTGCAGACATTTCGCGGGTGATCGACAGGTCAAGTCACAGGAGTTGGAGATGCATTGGAGAAAGAGAGAGACATGGAGCAAGAACCGTCCTTTTCCAGGACATTGTTTAGCTACAAGGCTTGGCTAACTGCATGTAGTGAGGCTAACGCATTATCCTGCTTTACCTGCCTCATTTTTCAAAGCTCAGGATCTGACCCAGCATGATAAAGACAGGTACGACTGATTTAAAGCACTTTTTAGAAAAGCCAAAGAACAATGAACAATCTGGGATTCACATGGAAAGTAATATAATATAGTCTAGTGTCCTTTTTTTTTAGATTTTCTGTTAATTTGCATAGTTGCTCTTCAATAAACACGTTCTCAGAAAATAAAATTTTTATATATATATTTAAAAAATATAAAGCTGACTATTAGCTTCTCTATTATTAAACTGATACATTGTATTTTTTTTCGGTTTGTGAAACAATATTTGACCATGCAAAACACAGATTTGCCTTCACAAAGCCTCGGAAGAGCAAGATTTATGTACAAAAAGTAAACCTGCACATGAAATTATGTTTTTTTTTATAAAGTGGTTTTATAATATTTTTTGTCGTTGGCATTTATATAAATATACTGGTGTGATAACAAAGTATACGTTAGATTTGCTTTTTTGTCAGCTTAGGGATTTAAGGAGGTTTACTGAATTCTCATATAGTGATGTTTAATTCAAAAATAGTTTAAAGGTAAGATTCTCTGAAGGAAATTTGAATTTATGAATATCGAACTTTGCAGTATTAATAAAAGATTGATGATATAAAAGTTGTTCTTTTCAGAGGTGCAGACGTCTAATAAGCCAGAAGCACGTCGATATACTAAAGGATCTGAGGCTGAATATAACAAAAATAGTTTTTCGAAAATGTCAGAGTGAATGGCCATTTCCTGAATAAGCACACCATTGTCTCAACGTCCAAAATGCAAAAAAGAACAATAACAGTCTATATACTTAGGCGGGTTTTGTTTTGCAGGATAAAACCATTGAAGAACTTTGAAGCACATATACTGAGGTTTGTTTTTGATCAAGTATTTAGAAGTTAAAGTCCATACAGATGTCCATTTGATGGTAGGAACAAACTGTCTCCATTAGTGGGTTATGTAAGGCTAAGTTGCTCTGGAAAAGGGATCATACAGTTCTGCTTCTGGTGGAAGGCTTGGAAGAAAAAAACATTTTTCCAAATGCAGTCTGTAGCAAACTGGGGAGAATACCTGCAGTCCTGTTTTCTACAGAGAGACAACAGCCTTAAAAAGCCTGAGGATTTCTATGGAAACGGCTTTTATAACGATGGCAAACTACCTGGGAGTCACAGGAAGATAGTAGATGGACAACCATTCAGAATAGGAGAGTAGTTGTCCTTCAGAGTTCAGCAAATGCTTAACAAAAATTATCTCATTACTAAACCCGTTAAAAAATAAAAGTGTTTTTGTAAAGAATTTGTCACTTATTCCAAATGAGAATTCTTGTAAATCAGAAACCAGGGTAAGAGCATTGGTTTGTGATAATTGGACAGTTTAGGCACAGTTTGTCAATATTATACTTTGAATGAAATAAAAATGTAAGACTTCTAGTTAAGAAATCATATAATTAAAATTTAGCTCTAACTAATATAGTAAACAGTAGATCACAAGCCGTTCATATTTGTTTCAATGGACATCTTGTGTATAACGGTTCATGAAAACGTTGAGGCAGCGATGCAGAGCGTTATAGTCTACATTTACACGCATTTGCAATACAATTAAATCCAGTCCGGTAGGACCTTACTGCGTCATCTACCCAGCATGCATTGCAAAGGTGAAAATATGGTGACCACCATGGATGACATGTTAAACTGCTGGTATTTTTTTTTTGAGCAGTTATGAGAGGAAAACTATGTCCAACTCTAAAACATCATAATAATAATTGTATAATTTAACTTTATTGATCTCATATTGGAGAAATGTACCTCTGCATTTAACCCATCCCCTTGGGGAGCAGTGGGCTGCCATTGTACGGCGCCCAGGGAGCAGTGTGGGGTTAAGGGTCTTGCTCAGGGACCCGGGGTGCAGACTGTGGGGATCAAATCGGGTACTTGCAACCTTCTCAGAGCACAAGCACACTCCTCTAACCACTAGGCCAACACTCCACATCATGGCTAAACTGTGAAAATTGCCTTTCTTTGGG